AACATTTTGTTACGCATTTCATTTGCACTGGAGTCCAGTTCCAGTTTCAGTTTGCAGTTGGAGTCTGCGGCTTTCTGGCCACTTCCTGAAACGCATGCTGCAGTGGCTGGCGGACATTTTATTTATCTAACTTTAATGAATATTAATATAAGTTTAGTTTTCGTCTGGTGCGAATCATGTTGCTGTCACTTCCTTATGGGGCAGCTGCCGGGCAAATGGATATGTACGCATTTGAGTTATTCAAGCGAACAATTCGAGATATATAACGATGCCAAATACTATTATTTATAGGTTATATTTTGCAGCTAACCAAGCCCAACTGTTGACTATATAAATAATTTATGAATTCCAATTACTTTCGGCAGCAGGAAAAACATGCACACATCTATTATATTATCTTTAATATAAGCAAACACTTTCGATTATTTCTTGGTTGTGTTGCCTTTTTTGTTTTGGCCAAGAGCTGCCCACTAAGTAACGGAACCACACGCTGCCACACACGCACGCTTCCACGTGGAACTCGGACCCAGACTGGGCAACTAGTCCCTGCTCGTTCACAAGAAACCGGGGGAATTGTTGAAAAACTAAATCAACATGCAATTAATTTGGCTCTTGGAAATGTAGCAAGCCATTTAAAGAGCGCTGCTTCGAATGGAATTCCGCATGTTTTTCAGTTTCTCAAAAAATGTGCACTAGATGCAGGAAATAAAGTGCGCCATATTAAAGCGGCGGCATTTTTCCATTGGGTTTGCTGGCCAAGCGTTGCCACATTGTTGCACATGCAAAAATGCACGCACTGGACAAACGACTTGTTGTTGTTGTTGTGTTTAGATGCCATTTGGCAACGCGAGCGTCTGCCCTTAACCGAGTTAGAGCGCCAAGTATGGCTTATAAATTACATTAAGAGCCACTAATTGATACGCTGCTGCCCAATCCCAAAGGCAATCCGTTGTGTGTGGACATCAGGCGCCTCACGAACGTGACGGCCTTCGTGTCGTCATTATTGAACAAGAATTCCCAAAAGCAGCAGCAACAAATATACGCATTATAAAAACCCCAACCTAACCCAAGCTAAGCTAAACGAAAGATATGCGCAACGTTGCCATACAATTTGTTTTTGTTTTCGTTGATTTCCCATTTCGTGCTATTAATTTGCATTGCGCCAATGTTGTTGTTGTTGTTGTTGCTGTTGCTGCTGTTATTGTCATTTTTGGCCTTTTTTGTATTAAGATTTATAACTTTTATTGCCATAAACTTGGCTGCGATTACAACATTTGCACCCGCTGCCTCCTTGACGTCTTCGAGCTGCACGTCACGTCGCTGCAAACAAATGCGAATGCGCAGCACAAAAGAGAAGAGCGAATGCCGGCCCACGCTCGCTCTCACTCTCGCTCACTCTCACACTTACTCTCTCTCTCTATAACAAGCTGAGCTCAAGCTGCGCTCAGCTTGAGCTGAGCTTTTGCCAGGCAGCCGAAAGCTCGCTTTGTCATTGTTTACACACAAAACCGTTATCAGAATTCAAGGTCTTCGGCTTCTGCTGCGACTCGCTCTCATTTTCAAAATTTTGTTGGCGCTCTCATTTCGCTTTGGTTGTTTTCGGTTAGTTGGCGCCGGCTGCACCTGTGCGCCGTCTATTTAACCTGGCTCCCCAAACTCCAGTGCGACAGTCAGATCCACGAAAGTGGCCCAAAGAGTTGCGCGCGTTGCCCACGAAGCGAGTGGTGCCCCCCCCACACACATAATAATTTGATAATTTCTCGTGCCCAAGTGAATTAGTGTTACATTTTTCGGTCTAGGGCCAACCCCCAGCCAACGTTAAGCGGGAGCCATGAGGATCCAGCGGCATTTTATGGTAATTACCAAATGTGTCAACAAAGTGCAAAAGATAGTGTAAAATGTTGTCGTTGTTGTTGTTGTTGTTGTTGACTTGGTCTTGCCAGCCAAGTGGAACTAATGGAATACAATTTTGTCACTTTAGTGCAGTTTTATAATAGATGCGCACAATTTGTTTACCAAACTGCCAAACGGCTAACACACACACACACACTCACACACACACACACACACACACACACTCACACACACATATGGAAATTATGAGCACATGCTTCAAAGATGCGCAAAGCAACAAATTGCAAAATTTAGTTTCGGCTTCGCAAATTGCGAAGTGTGGAGCGTAAATAAGGCATGATGAATCAATTACCTGAGTTAATAAGCCCTATTGGATATATATATATGTAAAAACTGAATGATTCGATTTATATCGAATTAAGATTTATATATCTAGGTAGATTTATATATCTACCAGACTTTGCAATAGGTCTAACGCTGGAAGAGCTACTTTAACACTTTGGGAAAAGAGACAAACTTTAAATCATTTAGCTTTCATAAGCGTAATCTTAATTTTCCCAAATATTAAGTGGATATTAAGTAGAGTTAGGCTAATTTTCAAACGCGATTTTCCCACTCGCACACTTTCCAGCCGGGTGGGCCTGTTGTCGCCTGTCAATAGCACGACATTTGAGACCCTCTCCGGTTTTCTCCTGCTCTGCACTCTGTTTTTTTTTTTGTTTTGTTTTGTAAATCGCTTTCAGGCGCATTGTCAACAATTAAAAGCGCACAAATATAGAGGCGGCGGGATGGTTTCATTAGCGCTTGCCCATGAAATGTGCATTGGAGTCTCGACTCTTTTCCCTCACGATCGATGATCCAATGCGGGCAAACCAGTCGCCAGTCGCGTCAGGAGATCGCAGACGGCATCGCTGGCGACTTTCACTGCCCACCGACTGCGGAAACTGCGGCTTAGCCAGCAGCTGCCTCAGCTACTGCGCACTCCACATGCGGCATCGGCATTGCAATTAGCACCCCGAGTGCCAGCGATGAGATAATTTTTTTGCTGGCGCTAATTTACATTTCATAATCGGATCGAAGTTGACAATTGATTGGGCTTATGTGCATTGAAATTTGATAGATTTGGATTATGTGAAATACCCGGCCCAAAGATGACAGCAAATTGACGCCAAATACTATGACCTCGCCAGTAGCACCAAATATAGAGCTTGGCAACGCCAACGCCAAATCAAACAGAGACAGGCCCAAAAGCGGGCATTTGCATAATGCCAGCAGACCTTTGGGCCTGGTAAAGAAAGAGTCGCAGCCCCAGCAAATAAAAAAACAACCGAATATGACACACAAAGATTGCCGATGGCTTTGACCTGCAGCCGGGTCAGGCTCTATCATGTCGAACTGGCATATTTATGCCCAACAAAAATAAGAAAGTGACGCAACATTTCACTCTTACTTTATGTCTGGGGGCAGTCAATGGACTCTCAGTGCAAACAATGCGAAAAAAAAGAGTTGGGCAGAATGGGACAAACAGTGTCGGCAACTGGCTGACCCAGTTAAAACCAGTTGTGGGCTTTTACGCTTCACATGAAGAATATTTAATTAATTAACATAATCGTTGCGAATTCGGCTTGATCCCTAAGCGGGCGCGTTCGTTGCCTAAGTCTTTCGTTTTATTCGATGTTGACTAACATTAAATGACTTTACTTTATTTTAAGTTGGGTTTGCTCGGCGCGCTCTCTGTCGCCACCAGAGGCAGCCATGCCAAAGCCGTGGGCGATCAGCAGGCAGCCGAGTCCCAGGTAAGCGGCAAGAGCGTGGCGCAGCAGCGCATCGGAGACGGCTTTGGCCTGGGTCTCGATATCGGCATTGGCGAGCATGAAGTACACGAGCACCACATACACGAACACCACGAGCATCACGAGCACCACGATCCCGGCTATTGGAAGAAGAAAGTCGAGTGGAAGGAGGGCTGGAAGAAGATATGGAATCCAGCCAAGAAGCAAATCTGGAATCCATCGTGGAAGAAGGTAATCAAATCAACCTATAAAGAATGTACTCAAAGCTGACTTTAATCTAATTCAATCACAGATCTACAAGCCGCATTGGGTCAAGGTGCCAGGCTGGAAGGAGATTCAGGTGCCCGCATGGAAGCAAATATGGGTGAGTTACACGTCTGGAGTTCGGTTAATTCTTATTCATTATTCAAAAACTTTGTTTTAGGTGCCGCATTGGAAGGAGATTTTAGTGCCCGCTTGGAAGGATATTCAGGTTCCCGACTGGAAGCAGTACTGGACTCCCGAACTAGTCAAGGTAAGGTTCAGATAAAGCCCATTGTTTGCAATACTCAAATTAAATATATTGTTTGTAGGTTGGTATTCCTGGTGAAAAATATCTGGGCAAGGATCATGAGGGTTGGGAGTATACCAGTCACGATCTGTGGAAGAAGAAGGTTGTCTGGAAATCACACTGGAAAAAGATCTGGAAGCCAGCTAAAAAGCAAATCTGGGTGCCAGAGAAGAAACTGGAATGGAAGGAGGCATGGAAGCAGTACTGGAAACCAGGCAAGAAACAAATCTGGACCGACAAACTAGAATGGAAGGAGGCCTGGAAACAGATCTGGGTGCCCGGCTGGAAGGAAATTTGGGTGCCTGGCTGGAAGAAAATCTGGAAGCCCGTTGTAATATCCGAATGGTTCCCCACACCCGATCACCATCACGACCATCACCATCATGACGTTGGCTGGGACTGGGATCGCAAAGACAAAGGCGCCACCAACGAAAAGGATAAGGTTGTCTGGAAACGGGATGACAGCAATGCCTCGGCGTCGAAGCCAACACTACTGCAGCCAGTGGCCAGTGCAGATTTCCAAGCCAAGACGCTGGAGGCAGCCAAATCGCCGGTTGCCGCCGCCGCCACATCGCAGTCATTTAAGTTTCCGGGCGCGTAGAGCATCTACGAATATTTATATGTATAACATATGCCAACTGCCCGGTTCCAAGCTCCTTGTAAATAGTTGTAAACCAGTCGCTAGCACGTAAGGTCCCCCTTTGATTCGGCGCACACTTAAATTATCTCTAGACTTAAACAGCATTTAATTAACAAATAAATAAATAAATAATCTTAATTGTAGTAGTCAGTCTCTCCTAGGCCTAGCTGGAGTGCAGCTGCTGCTTATCCTGTTTATCCTCCGGCTGCTGCCAGGCATCCGGCGGCGGCGCATTGGGCAGCGGCACCCACTCGTTGAGTATGGTGGGCGTCCAGACTTTCTTCCAGACGGGCTCGTAAATGCGCTTGGCGCGCCAGTACTTCACCCAGCGCGCATTCCAGGTGGTCCTATTTGTCCAGAAGCCATCCAAATGCGGCTCCACTGTATCCGTATGACGTACACTGCATGTGGGGCAAACAGGAAGTGTGACTGGTGCTGTACAGTTGGGTGAAAGTCGTTGCGCCGGCTGGCGATTACACAACATCCTCAACACTTACATGGTCGTTGTCTTGCCGCCCACGCTGCCATCTATGCGGAGGAGGAGGAGGAGAAGCAGCAACAGCAGCAGCAGCGGCAGCAGCGGGTAAGCCAGCCCATAAATCCGGCCACAGCTGCGTTTGGCTTGGGCTGCTGTCATCATTATCATCCTGTCACTCTTAACTTGGCTGCTGCCTCTAATTGTGGACCCTTTCATGTTTCGCAATCGACTGGCAAGCTTTAAGACTCCGCTCTTAAAGTTAACTAGCTCGAAATGTTGCGGTGCCACTTATTGAAATTCATGAAGCAAACGCGCAAATGAATTGCAAATTCGCGCGGTGAAAATTGTTATAAATAACGTACGACATTATATAATGCACATAAAAGGGCATTAGTTTTGATAGTTTTCGTATTTATAGTTTGTTTCTTTAATCGACTTTTGTTCGCTGCATTTCTTTATATGCTTAAGCTAAGACTCTGCAAATCAAATGTGTGAGTGCCAAAGCTTAACTAACTATATATATATATATTTATATATCTAACTGATGTATCTGAAGAAACTGTTGCCCATAGTTAACATAGTTTTCGATTTTTTGTAGAATTCAAGCTGTATTGTCTAGAGAAAACATGCAACATATAAAACTAGATACTTAAGCTAAAAAATAAACTACAACTAGACCCTACCATGCAACATAATAGTATAAATCGTGTTAGCAATTCTTAAAGTTTCTTATTTAAAGCCTATGTTTACCGTTTCGAGTATGCGTTAAATAGTTTTCTTAATTCTTTTGTTTTTGATTCTTTGTTGCAAAATAGTTAAGCAGAACGAACGTTTACCTTAGACACTTGGAATTAAGCGATTAATTAATTATAGTTAGACTTGGCCTAAGAAAAGGCGGTACAAATGTTTTGCATAAAGTGCTGTTGATTTGTTCTATATATATGTATATATATATATATATGTGTATATATGTGTATGTGTAAATCGTGTTTAAAACTATGTTTTAATTAAAAGTTAATATGGCACAATCAGCGCATATATATATATATGAACATACATAGTTAATTAAATCGTCGTTTATGATTATGCTTTTAATGCTAATTACAAGATAAACGCAGACAATTAATTAAACATTTAGGCTACAGCACAAAAAGCATTCGAGATAGTGAACCATATAGCCACAGCCGGCAACAGTTGAGAAATCGGCCGAAGAGTCTAGATATAACCCATAGTTAATTGTTTTTAGCTGTGACCAATATCATATCATTTATCGTGTTGTTTTTTTAGACTGTGTCGTGTGTTTCTGAGTGTTTCCTTTTCTCTGTAATCCATCTTCAACTTTATCTTGTTCTCTGCTAGTCTGTCAGTCTTTTGAAATACCATTTGAAATCGTTACATTTGCAAATTACAATTTGTTCGTTAGTTGGTTTTTGTTGTTGTTCTTGTTGTGATTTTCGGTGTGTGGGTTGCTTGAACAAGCAGAGAGTCGCGGGAATGTTCTGTTTTGCGTGGTTTTCAGTTGCGTTGCAAAGTGAAATCGTGAGTAAATGAACAGCTAATTAGTTCCAATTGTTGAGTACAGTTTTTTGCATCATTTTCGTTGGTGTCCAGTCCTGCAGTCCTGCCTGTGACTCACTCGAAGGACATCAGATTGGCGGGCAGTGGCTTTGGCACACGCGTCGTTGCCAGCTTGCAAATGGCATTCGTCCAGAGATGCGTCATCTGCGGACTGTCCGTGCGAAACTTGTAAACGGTGCCCAGGGTGCGGTGGTATAGCTCGAAGGTGTTCTTGTGCTTGGTATTGTCGCTGACATGGGCATACCAGCCCTCCAGGGGACACACCTTGCACGGTTCGCGCTTGAAGTCACCACGTTCGCTGCCCTTGAACGACTTGGGCGGAAAGTAGACAAGCGAATTGGCCCAGATCTGCAACCAGTAGCGCTGCCAGGAGGCCACCGCGGGCTTCCTGCCCTCCTTCTGCACGGTCTTGCGACGCACACAGCCCTGCATGGCAGCCGCCGCCTCCGGCGACATCAGATCGCAATTGCTGCCCATGAAGTCGCACAGGATGCCCTCGGCGCTCTCAAGCGAGATCAGGTCCGCACTGGACAGCGCATCGCTGTGCTCCAGCACAGAGTCGTCGAGCAAATGATGACGCGGCTGCTGGACCGTCGCATCGAGTTCCAGATGCAAATGATGCGGATGTCCCTCGTAGTTGTTCGGCGCAATTTTGCCAAAAATACTGCGAAAGCACAGACGATATAGATATTTGTCGGAACAGCACGCCTTATATATATGCACAGAAGGGGCGTCATGCAGGCAGGCGTTCAAATGGCTTGAAGCAAACACAAAGTAAAGCAGCTAAGAGCGCTCGTGCGTATGCGTGTCTGTGTGTGGATGTGTGTGAGAGGGTGCGTGTGCGTGTGGGTGTGCGAGTGTGGGTGAGTGATGCATGTGGCAGAGATGAGCGAAACGAAATTCAATTGGCTTAATTCATACGGCTAATTTAGACCCAAAGAAAAGCGTGTGTGAGGGGGTGTGCGTGGGGGCGTGTGTTGTGTGTTGTCTGTTGTTATACTCATGCAGAGCGGGGCTTTATAATTTTGTCACGCAATGTGTGACCCACTAAAGGAAACATCCCTGATCCCATAAAACATGTATATTCTTTAACAGTTTCCACAGTCAAAGGCAGATTCTTCTTTTCAGCAGGCTACTGCAAAAGATAGTCGATCAGATCTTAACACTATATCATTGTAGCTATAGCTGCAATAGGAACGAACGACCGAAATTAGAGCTATTCAAGGGAGGACTTTTGTTTTTTGAAGACTATCTTGACCAAACTAGAGAATATCGTATAGCTCTCACAGGAACAATCGGATAAATATGTAGTTCTTATATAAAACAAGTTCTTTATCTTAAGCCAACCCCAACAATCAAATTATGAGCTTCACTTCACAATATTCTTCTTTCCATTGACATAGGATCACAATATCAAGTCAAACTATTTAAAGTATAGAAGAAAATAAAACGTCTATTCTATATCTGCAAGTGTATATAACATTCGGCACTCCGAAGATAACATTATTTTCATGTGTTTATTTACATGTGTTTATGGGTCTCGTTTATGTGGAAGCATTTTAAGTTGGGTCCGTGCACACAAACTGATGAACTGATAATAGGATAGGTAAGCAGCTGATTATTCCTATTGTAGATCCTAGCTACGGGACACTCACCGACGGCATCTGCAGCGCTTGTTCGAGATGGTGCCAATGCCCGGCGCAATCATTACAATGCAGCATTGGCACCTTTGTGCAAAATTGCGCGGCAGGCTGCTGCTGCGAAATCTAATGCGCAGCCAGTTGCAGTTACAAACAAAGAGGCACAGATACAGATACAGATACAAAGATACAAAGATACAGAACGAAAGCCAAAAGCAAAAAGCATAAGTGAGACGTAGAAAAGAGACAATAATAATAGTATTGAGTGTAAAAATTGATATAGAGTTATGATTGGGACCCCCAAAGGTTCAGTCCAATTGCGCAGTGAGTTTTGTGTCGAGTGATGTTTAAGAAACGAAATCGAAACTTGATTTTGATTATTGATTGTTGTTGTTGGGACAAGACACGAAATAGTGTATTGATTGGCAGTTAGAGAATGAGCGCAAGGATTTGAATAAATTAAGATGCAGTTGGATGACTTACTTGGTGCCCAGGCTGCGGCACTTGCGATGGCCGGGCACAAACTTGGTGCCGCTGGCCATGCGCATGGAGCCGATGGTCTTGGCGGGCGATAGATTCAAGCAGCCCAGCGCTGGTGTTATTGATTCCACATTAAATGATTCCTTCGAGCTGCAGGAGGATGAACTGGGCCCGGAGGGTGAAGCGGGCTCCAAGTTTAACGAGCGTCTGTTCAAATTACAAATTAAACTTTACTCGCACATTTACTTATTTCATGATAATTACTTGTATTGATCCTCCTCGAATATGTTCTGCAGCTCCTCAATGTAGCGTATGGAGGTCAGATACTTTTGCGTGGACTCATGTGGCTGTATGTGCTGATAATCCGACTGCTGGTAATTGGAGATGACGCGCAGTATGTTGTTCATCTTGTTGCGCCGCTGATCTGGCTCCAAGCCGCCCTTGTGCGGATGCGCCAGATCAATGTAAATCAAGTCTGTCAGAAATAGGCCCAGATAGGGTATGCACGGCAGACGTAGACTCTCCAAGTACGAGCGCAAATTAGCCCAGTTGTTCTGATCGCTAAATATATCGCTGAGGCGCTCAAAGGACTGTCGGTCCTTCTTGGACAAACAGGCCCAGGTCTTTTTGAGACGATAAATGCTGGCGCTCTGCATGGCCGAAATAATGGCAAACAGCGAGTGCAGATTGTTCAGTTCGTGCAGCTTTTTGGCCACCTGAAAAGTAAATAGGTTTAGCATAAAGTTGACTTTTTGTAGACGTTGAATGTTGCACCTTAATAAAGTGTGTCATGATCTCTGCACGCTGCTTGGGCTGCTCGGCATTGAGTATTTCCTGCACCGTCCAGAAGCTGGTGTGATTGAAGCGCTTGGTAAAGGCCACAATATTCGGCGTGGCCACATGCTTGTCCTTTTTGGTCCAGGCGCAGCTGCTCAGCTCGTCCGGCTGTATGAGCGCAAAGACGGGAAAGTCGAGCAGCGTTATCTGATTCGCCAGCACATCGGCGGGCACACGCAATGCACTCAAGATGACCGCATCCAGTTGCTTAATAGAGCCATGCGCTGGCAAACTCTGCGATTTGTTCGCTGGCGCTGCGGTTGTACTGCAAGTGCGAAATTAAATGAACCAATTTATACATATTTATTTGATTTGCTTGACTCTCTTGTGTACTCACGCTATGCTGTAGTAACAACCCGGCGAGTCCGGCGACGAGCTGAAGCTGGTCAGGCAGCCAATAGAGTTCTTGCGACGTGTGCTTTTAATATTCAACGTCTTGCTGACGGGCTGTTGCGCCTGTTCGTGCTCCGCCTGCAGTTCCTGCTGGCTTTTGTCCTGACGCAAACAGGCCATGGTGTGTGCACTGCCATTGGAACTGCGCTGCTTCGACGGCCGCTGTGTCAGCTGCGGCGATGCCGACTGCTGTGGATGGCAGCGGGACTGTGCGGGCGAAGCTGTCACAAATGTCTGTCCGGCATAGCCCACATAATCCGTTGCGGGTTTTCTGCTCAGCTGTGTGTGTGTGTGTGTTTAATAGAAATATGAGTAAAGAATGCGGCTGGAAAACGCACAAACCTACCTCTGAGTAGCGCAGATTATCCGTGGACAGGTCGCGCGATATTTCTGAATAGCGCATCATAGCAAA